TTTATGGACCAATTAAGACCATTAATAATAATAATAATAAAAAACCGTGATGTGTTGACACGTAAAATGCATCCGCATCCAGACAGAATACTGAGGCACCGATCACGTCACTTTCAAATTTATTTCACAACGTATATTAACCACTCTCCGAAATCACTTAGCTGTGTAAATTTTCAAGGAAACCAATTCCGGGGGTTTCCTCAGAGCACAGCTTAACAAGGCCCAGACCAACGTAGAAATCCCTTTCGCTTTTATTTAACTTTCTAAGTCATCTAGGCAGGAAATGGAGTTGGTTTTCTCTGATGCCTCGAAATAAACCAATGAAATGAATTTCCAGAAGTTATCGAGTGCCGGAATGAATGAAGTAACAGTCAACCGCCTCATCGCCAAGTTCAAGGCCAAGTTCAAGGGAAAGAGAACTGCCGCAGGGGATCGGCGGTGGACACGGACCCAAGGTGTCCGATAGATTTGTTATGATCTTAAGGCGGCTACTTTGTGTCAAAAGCACAGAAGGAAACAAGGGGATCAGGGAGAGAAAATGACTATATCCATGCGATCCTAAATAAACAGTGAGAACTACATAATGATACAGACTTTGGTCCAGCCTGGCTGACGTTCCTCATATTTTGCTAATGCAAAAGGGATGAAACCAGACCTCGTTTCGAGGGGCGTCGTCGTACAGACATGCATACGTAAACACGTGTATATATATATATATATATATATATATATATATATATAATAATATATATAAGCACATTCATACAAACATATATACGAACTTCACGTCATTCCAAAGACGGCGTGTCGCCATGTATGTTAAAATATTGTTCAATTCATGTGAAGTTCCACACATCCCTCCTGTGTCTCGACATAAGGTGTTTAATGACTAATGATCGATGGTGTAGACGCCCAAGAGACAAGCACATATATTATATATATGTAAACATATACATACCTACACATGCACATGTATATATATGTGTACATATGATATATGTATGTGTATGTATATATATGTGTGAGTATCTACTCTACTATCATAATACGAGTGGAGAATGAAAATCGAGTATTCTGCTGAAACCCTTGCACGTGCATAAACCACTTGTATTTTGTAGATAATCATATGCAAAAGATATTTTGTACTGCATAAGAACTTTAAATGAATCCTAAATAAACTTCTATTCCAAACTCGTTAGAAATAAAAACGATGCCAATATAAACAAACGTCTGACAAGAAATGCTTCCTGAATTCCAAGATATGCTTATGCGAAGGAAAATTAGAATATAGATTACGTAAAATATTTATTTTCATGCTTCATGAGACGGGGGAACTCAACGTCCTTTGCAAACGATGCGTCTTGCAATTGCATTTCCTCAACATATTAATTTAATTTCCCCCTAATTTGGCTTGAGATCAGGTGTTTGGTGACTAATGGTCGATGGTGTAGGCGCCCAAGAGACAAGCACAGCTGGCGGGAAGCTTGAAGGTCTCGATGGCGAAGGGGAAGTACTGATCATAGGAGTCGTAGACAAGGAAGCGGTGGTAGACGGACTTCTGCAGACACTTGGACTCGTAGCACTCAGGCACCAGAGGACATGCATCGGCGGAACTGAGACACTCTTCGATGCGTGTAGTCTGAGTGAGAGTCTGATAATGGGCATCGATATTGTTGACAACGACACGCCATTTTCCCTCGGTGTTCAGGGCACGAAGGGGCCTGACGTAAGCGGTCTCTGATGGGCACAAGTAAGTTTCCTCCTCAGGGTGTTTGGTCGGTCGACAGACAGCTCGGTGTTGAGGTCGGCTACGTCAGCATAGAGGGAGAGGAGCTTCTCGTAGTGGTACTCTGCTGCGTGTTTGATCTCGTAGGTGGGATAGTGGTCGTCCTCGAGGCACCAAGCTTTGGTTGTGTTGGCAGCACATTCTGGCACAGCAGGCTCGTGTTGATGCTCATAGGAAGGCTGTGGGTGATAAGCGGGAGCAGGGTGGTAGGAAGGTTGTGGATGGTAGGAAGGCTGAGTGTGGTAGGTAGGTTGATGGTGGTATGAAGGGCTTCCGTGGTGAGAGGAACTGTGATGGCTGACAGCAGGAGCACCGCCGAGACTGATGCTGACGTGTGAGGTCTGGTCGGCCAGAACGGCGACCGCCAAAGAAAGCGAAATCTGAAAAAAACAGAATATAGTAAGATTAATCCATATTGATGATGCTTGCATCCATAATATACCTGGTATTTCGTGTGCACGCTAATGAACGCACCCACACCAGTACTCATATGGGAGTAAATGTATCTCAGAACATAATGGCAACTCACCAGGTATCGTAGAGCCATGCTTGCACTCTCAGCTCTCGGCGTTCGAACTGTAGCGACCGTGATGATGGGCGCCTTTATATATGAGCAGTGTCGTTCCTCCCCTCGCCTCTTCCCCCCCCCCCCCAGCACAACCGAACTGTGGGAGTAATTTTATTTTGATTCAAAGATCATTTAAATGTTCCTCCGTGTTTAGAGTTCGTTTTACACTATATGGAATATCCATATTGTTGCAAAACACAAAGGGAAATGGAGTGTGGAATATGAACAATTAGAAAAGAATTGAGCATTTCAGGAAGCGAATAATTAGAGTGAAAGGTATCCTTGGGTCAGCCAGCCCTCTCCTCGGGTGATCTAAACGTTTTTCCTTTCTCCTGTCTTTGTTATTTCTGAACATGATTCAATATATGTGTTTGCTTATGTGAACTGTACATATTCATTTGTAGAAAAAGTATGAATGAAAATGAAGATCTTAGTACGGTTTCGATTACATCTTCGTCAGAAATAACTACTTCTCTTACACTGTGAAGATATTCATACTCATACCTTTTCTATGTATATGTATATATGTTGTTTATATGTATCTATACATATTTATACTTCTATTCATATGTGTTTACTTACAGTTTCCAATCATATTTATTTGTATACATATACATACATCTATATACAAACTAATATAATTCATATGTAAACTTAGATCCATATAAATGTATGTATATACGTATTTATTCAATATTCAAACATTAACATGTATATATAGTTATGTAAGTATACAGTTGATACACACATACACACGTAAACACACACACACATATATTGTGTGTGTTATATACATTTATAATACAATATATATATATGCTTATAAATGTGCATATGTATGTCTTTATGTATATATAGAGAAATGTAAATTCATATATATGTATATAAACAAATATTCTTTTACAAATATACATATGCATATATATATATATAAATATATATATATATGTATATATATATATATAATATCATATATAGTGCATATGTATGTATACATATACACACACATATATTTGTATATACATATAATACAATATATATATATATATATATATATATATATATATATATATATATATATATATATATATATGCTTATAAATGTGCATATGTATGTCTTTATGTATATAGAGAGAAATGTAACTTCATATATATGTATATAAACAAATATTTTTTTACAAATATACATATGCATATATATACATATATATAAATATATATATTTGTATATATATATGTATGCATATACATATATAAGTGTATATGTATGTATACACACGCACACACACACATTTATATTTGTGTGTGTGTGTGTACATATACATGCACCCACACATATATATACTTATATATATGTATATCTATATACATATGTGTATATATCTATGTGTATATATACATATATTATACATATACTATATATATACATATATGTATATATATATATATACATATATTTATGTGCGCGCGTATGTGTATAATGAATATACATTATATATATATATATATATATATATATATTATATTTACACACACGTGTATGCGTGTAATGTGTTCGAAGGTGGGTGGGTGTATAAGTGCAAATAAATATATTAACTAAACTTAAGAGAAAATAAAACATATATTCCTTTATAGCACTATACATCTTTGCATTCCAATGACTTTGTGGTTTAAAAAGACACTCATCACTGGAGTTTGAAAACAGTTACGAATTGCTTAGAAGTACGGATAGGTTCATTGTTCAATTCTAGTAGTGAACTCATTCTGTACTTGAACTAATTCCCTTTACAAGTGTTGGTGCCTCCCATTTCGGTATCTCAACATTTAGCTATTCACTTTTCTCATATATTCACAAAATTTTGCTTTTCTTACAGAGACAATAGGAAAATCATAACGAGAATGATGGTTGTTAAAATCCCTTATTTTATCAAAATACTGATATATGTATATAAACATGTATATATACATATGTATATTTGTACCTTTTTTTAATTTCGTAAAGCAAAATTATTATTATTCTTTTCTTTAATGTTATTGCTATTATTTAAATTATGAACTTTATGCAAAGATCACTTTCGTTACCATCATAACCATTATGCATTTTTTTTATCAATATCAGTTATTAATATGAACCATGTCATTATTCCTTATTGCTATTTATATCATTATTATCATTATAATTTTGTTATTGTTCTTTGTCTTCTAGCTCTCATTCTTGCGATAAGAATGATAATTTTCATCAATATTATGCATCTTTAAAGATTATTACTATTAATGCTGTTATCATAATTATCATAATTGTAATAATCTTCACTGCAATTAATTGCTGAAATTATCATTATTAGTTTCTTTTTGTATTGGTTATTAAAATCATTAGCAATTAACATGTGTAGGAGTCAAAAATCGTATAGATATGTTCAAAAATGATTTGTTTATAAAAATATACAATGGACTCGCTTTACATGGTTGAAGAGAACGAGAGAGCAGCGGTGGGAGCGTCCCTTCAGTTCCTGAGATGACTACTGGTGTTACGCGAAGAAAGCAGTTCTCCAGTCACGTGGGTGTTTTCCGTTTGAAGGGCTTACGTGAAGGCCATGGAGTGATAGTGTGAAGAGGCGATTTGTTGAGAAGCGTTGTGATGGCGTGTTAGGCGGGAAGGTGGCATGAGCAGGCAGATGGCATCTTGTAGATGTCGATGAAGAGGCCCTGTAGGGGTCACATGGGTCGTAGGAGAGGAGTCGGTGGTACACTGACTTCTGGGTGCAGTGGCTCTGGTAGCAAGGAGCAAGGGCGCGGCAAGCAGCCTCTGGGAACAGACAAGTCTCGAGGCGGGCAGTCTGGCTGTAATAGTGAACGTCGTTGACAATGACGCGCCACTTGCCTTCCACATTCTGGGCACGCTTGGGCATGGCATACACCACTTCGGAGGGACAGATGTAACCCTCAGGACCAGCCCAGTGGGTGGCATCGTAGGGAGAGTCCCCAGTGGAGGCCCCAGTGTAGTAAGAGTAGTCGAAGGCCTCCTCCTGGTCCTTGGTAATCATGTCTACCAGGTCGTCAGCAGACTGGTCGGCGACGTCAGCGTACTTCTTGGCGAAGAGGTGATCGGCAGTGATGGCAGCCTTGATCTCGTACTCGGGATACTCAGCGTCTTCCAAGCAGTAGGAGAGAGTGGAGTTGTCAGCGCATGCGGGGGCCACACTTGGGTCGCAGTAAGCGTGCTCATAGGCATGCTTGTGGCCGTAAGCAGGTGCATGATGACCATAGGCAGGCGCATGATGAGCGTAAGCAGGCTGTGGGTGATGTCCATATGCTGGAGGGTGGACGGAGCCCAGAACGACTCCGGCGCATGCCAGAACGACCGACTGGAAAACAAAGATAACATTAGAACAAAATCGATTTTGTAAGGACCAAAATCTTCACACACTACAATGAAGACAGCTTTAACTGGCAGTATTATCCAACTACCAACAAAAGAGCCATGATGAAACGAGCAGATAGATACGAGAATCGCTTCTACTGTTGCCCATTCGTTACTATCGAGTTTATATACGGCGTTGTATGCGTTGGCCACGCCCACGCACTACGAAGATGCGCGACGCCAAGGTTAGAAAAGCGTGAAAGTGCGTCGTTTCCTGACTGTCGCTATTACTTTCCCGATAGCACAAACTTGTGAACTTTTCAACCATAGGGTGCCCCATCTCCACATCCTCTTACCTGGAAGGGAGAGGTGGCCAAGACATGTACACATAAAATGAGATTCACAAAGGCACAATACTACTGTTAATAATAATGATCATGATAATAATAAATAATAATAATGAATATTTGCATATAAACATACACGCATATGAGTGTTTGGAAGAGTGAGGGTGTGTAAATTAGTATGGATACATATATGAATATTTACACTCAATGTAGATATGAATAATGTATGCATTGCATGCATGATATACATAATACATACGTATTCATATAGGTATATATATCTATATATTTAAATATACAGTTATATATAACAGATACACAAAAAAACGCACAAACATACACATTTAGCTGTGTATTTATATCTATATATGCATATACAAATATATATGCATATATCTACATAAATATGCAACTATATAAACAAATATTCTATATACCTTTACATATACGAATACATACATACATACGTACATATATATATATATATATATATATATATATATATATATACACACACACATTTGTATATAAATGCATAAATGTATATGTACATATATATTGAACTATATAAACATCAAAATTATATACATTTGTATATACGCATATATATGTACGTGTGCGTGTGTGTGTGGGTGTGTATGTATATATGAGTGTGTGTGTGTGTTTCTGTGGGTGTGCGAACGCAAACATATAAAGTATATATAAACAGAGCATATTTATACCCCATTTATATAGTATTTGTTCCTCTATACATCTATTGATAAAATACACACACATATATACATTAGAAAAGGATATGGCTATTCATATGTGCGTACTATCTATCAATCTATGATTCAATGAATGTATGCAAATATGAACTTCAGCATAACTTATATATATGTATGTATATATGTATATGTATGTATATATATATATATATATATATATATATATATATATATATATATATATATATATGTATATATATCATATGTGTTTTACATGCGCATATATACATATCTATATGTACATATACATACATATTTATAATCCATATATACACATCGTATATTCAAGACAAACACTCATAAACAGTTAATACACGCCCAACCCGACACACACACACATACATATTTATAGCGGGTACGTGTGGTTAGGGCCCATTTCAAGTTGCGGAGGCTGCATGTATTCGTAAGTCCTTTAATTTACATGAGAGAAATGAGCTGGACTCCTTGGCAGTCTACGCGCGTGAATGACAGTTTTAGATCTGGCCACCTGAGGCTAATTGGCTGCGTGTGCTGTGCACCCACCCCACCCACCCCATCCTCCCATAGTATCATCCTTCAGGAAGAACACAGACCACGATTACTGTAGGAGCTATTTAGTGTCATAAAGTGGGTCTGTGTTTTGGAGAAATGAGGAAATGGATCGGAGTGAATGAGGAAGATTCAGCCCT